CAGAGAGAGAGAGAGAGAGAGAGAGAGACAAGGACCCGACACCGAGTCTGACAAGTCCGGATCACACAGAAGTGCCACGTGGCACTACTCTCTCATGGAGACCACGAAGACAAGCAGCAGGGAACAGTATCGACGTCAGTCTCAGGTAAGTAACCCGTTCCTCACTCTGCCACAGATCCTGATCCTCCTCCTTGTCGCAATCAGTCACCTCATGTACACAGTGTGGCAGAGCGCAACTCCCTCGAATCTCTGGCAGATCGCAACTCCCTCTCTCTCGCGCGTACAAGTGCGCTAGCACTTCGGAATCCACACTCTCATGCGAATGAGCATCTGCCGAAATGGGAGGCTGACCAGTATTTTATGATGCTGGGCTGGTCTGCCTCAGCCAGCCTCAAACTCAAATGTGTCTGGCGGCCTGCCTTTTGGACTAAGTCTTCTGGTCTGACTCGAGACCTGACCTCTGGGACTGACACTAACTGAGCCTGCGACCTTTAACTCTGGGACTGACACTAACTGGGCCTGCGACCTTTGACTCTGGGACTGACACGAACTGGCCCTGCAACCTTTGACTATCTGCTGAATGGACGTGACCCCTGCTGCTGTGGCCTGTCGAGCCTGCCTTTTCGACTTCTGGTCTGACTCAGCACTTGACCCTTGGGACTGGGACTAACTCTTTAGTCGGACCAGAAATCCAAAAGGCAGGCTCGAAAGGCCACAGCAGAAGGGGTAACTGAACAGACGTGACCCCTGCTGTTGTGGCCTTTCGGACCTACCTTTTGGACTTCTGGCCTGACTCAAGACTTGACCTCTGGGACTGAGAATAAGTCTTGAGTCAGACCCGAAGTCCAAAAGGCAGGTCCGAAAGGCCAGAGTACCAGGGGTCACGTCTGTTCAACAGACTTGAGTTTATGACCATAAACTCAATTGAAAATACATAAACTAAACAATCTCTTCTTTTTCAATTTAAACAGAAATAAATCTTCATTGCTGTCTATTTTAGATTTATTTTCCGTTTATATGTATATATATTTTCGTCCTTGAGTCAATAGAGAGGTCAAAGTAATCTCCTTTTACAAAAAAATAACATGAAAGAACAGTTTTTATCATTACGCCCTTTAGGATTCGAACCTATGCTAGAGATTTAGAAGATCTCAGAGTCTGCCCTAACGTTTATAAACGACATAATATGATTCACGGTATATGCATATATATATCCTAATGAATGGATGATATGTACTAACCGAACATTATATATAAATATATGTATATTTATATATATTTATATATCTTTACATTTATATATATATATATGTATGTATCTTTACATTTATATCTTTACATAGATATATACCTTTATATAATTTTAAATTTTATCATATTCATGTAATTCTAATTTTATGTATTACATATGTTTATTGATTTGATTTATCTATTTTTATTTATTCCATTTTAGTAATTTATAAATTTTAAATTTGTAAACATCACAAGCGAGTCAGACCAAAAGTCCAAAGGCAGGCTCGAAAGGCCACAGCAGAAGCTGAACAGACGTGACCCCTGCTGCTGTGGTTTTTCGGGCCTACCTTTTGGACTTCTGGTCTGACTTGCCTGCAACGTTACCTTTGGGACTGAGACCAACTAGGCCTGCGACCTTCGACACTAATGAAATTTGAGCATGTTACTACAGTCTTCCCCCGAATACAACGCACAATCATTAGAGTTGTATTTAGACTGAAAGACATCCTAAATACATCCACAATGACCGTACGCTCTATTCGGGGGAACAATGTAGGGCATTAACGTCTAATACAGATAATATTTAATTCATAAATAACATATGCTGAAAAGAAAAACACATCAAATTAAAGTAACATATGATTAGTCTGATGTGCACCTCGTTTTATTTTCGACTTTCAAGACTTTTTATATTTTCCGTGCTCATCGTTTGATTAATTCATTGGCACAAAAACCTCCCACATGGATAACAGTGTTATAGGGCTATAACGATTTAAAAAAGGGAGGTCAAATTCAATTTCAATAGTTTACGAATTTATCTTTCAACTCTATGATTTTGTGAGAATAAATCATCAGTACAGGGCTAAAACCTTGAAGGCATAAAATATTATATTCTGAAGCGATGATTGACAAACAAAACACTACGTACGAAAGTTTCATGTTAGTAGTCTGTTGTGCACAAAGTCTGATTTTCGACTCTCAGAAACAACTACATTTCTTAGCAATCGCATGCGAGCAATCGAGGAACTGTACAAATGTTTCGACGCTGGACTTCGACATTGTAGGGCTATATCCCAGTTTCACCATTTGTCTAAAAATAACATTTGAATGAACACAAGTACAATTTGAAGGCTTTTATCCATGTTTTTTTATCTCTTCACATTTTTATGATTTTTAGGGGATAAATTCCACGTTTTTTCATAAACCTCAGATTTGTTAAAAACCGAACTCCGTAAAAAAGTTTGATTTCAGTGTGGTCGAATTTGGTTGTCAAACGAAATAGAAAAAATGACGAAAATTCGTGCCTTTCCGGTTTGTTCAGGTTAAAGTGTACCGGATGACTGCTATTTTGTGCTGTTTTCCTTTTAAAATACAAGTCCCGGGTCATACTTTTGCTAATTGTGTTTTTTGTTCGTATTTCAGCCACCTTCTCGTTCACGCCGAATGAGAGCGTGCCGACCGCCCTCGAAATAAAACTTTTTTTTTTTTTTCCTAATATTTCGTGCAAACTAGAGATTTTGTTTTCTCTGGTTTTCATTAATCCTTTGTTCCTCTTATTCTCTTCTTTTCAACGTCCGACATTGGTTCGGAATTAGGGGATGGGGGATCTGCCATTCTGGCCAACGTGGAACAAGCATGCAACCGGCTTTCTATGTGTATAGATTCGCGTGCCAGTGTTTCTATCAGTTGGCTGCTATCTGTCCCAAATCCATATGAACCTCGATTGGCCTTACTTGATCACAACTCTGGAATCGCTGTATCGGTTCCTGTGTGATCTCTCGGTTTTAGGTGCTTCTGATATAGTTTTCCCTTGGATCGACAGTCGGATTTCCACGTGTCTCTTATCTGCAACTGAGTGGCTTACGTGGCGACCTCAGCGAAGAAGGGGAGGTATAGCTTTTTCCTCGACGGCTCCAACTCCCGTTTATACCTCGCTTCCTAGAACTCAGCAACTGACTTCCCAAATGGGAAAAAAATTCCAATATGCCCGTGAACCAACCGTATGCATCTTGGAGAGGCTGTGTGTTGACCCCACCGTCTATGGCGTCGATTATCCTGTAGGCTCCACTTGAGACTGAGTCGCCTTGGAGTACCTGCAGACTTAATGACCTTCTCCTGCTAATGCGAAGGCGGGCCGTGTACTTGCCAAAGGTCGTGGGGATAATGGGATCCTTCCTCCTTGTACCCGAAGTTCGGCTACTGATCCCTTGAGAGAGGAGAGGAAAGGCACGAGATATTCCTTCTATCTTCCGTTACCCCTACCCTTGGCTTTGACTTACTCCACCCTTCGGATTAACAGGGAGAAAGGTGAGCGATTAGGAACTGATTACCTCGGTACATTCTTGTAAAGATTCCCTCTGGTCGCTGCTTCCTACTTTTCTACTGTCCTTTGCCGTCTTGTTTACCCCCTGGGTCGATGGTATTACCATCTACATCCTCCTTCCTCCACTCCATACCCATCTACTATCAGGTAGCTATCAGGTGGCTGCCATCTGCTTGGCTGCTTGAGTTCGCACTCCCTTCTCTCCCCGTCCTCGGCGATGGTGGTAAGGGATCGTAACCCTAGCTCACCGTTGCCGCGCGAGCTCGAAATTTGAATTTCCCCCGCGGATTCCCGCTCTCACACGAAATAGCGCTCGGATTAGCGCAAAAATTAGCGCTACCGGCCCTTCTCCACCACCGGTAAAAACAGCATCTGCACAGTACCTTTCCCGCATGGGAAAATAGGGAAAACTGGCAGTTTTCCCAAACTCCTGAATATTCGGAGGTCGGGCCCGAGGACGACTGCCATTGATAAATCTGATCGGCAGCCGTCATTTCGTTTCAGCCTCTGAAAAGGTCGGACGCCTACCCCGCTATTTTCCCACGCGGCAAAGGTACTAGTGGTCGGGCCCGACCATGACTGCCATTGATAAATCTGATCGGCGGCCGTCATTTTGTTTCGGCCTCTGAAAAGGTCAGACGCCTACCCGAGGCCCGCTATTTTCCCACGCGGCAAAGGTACTAGTGGTTTAAAAAAAAAACAAAAAAAAACAAAAGGATGTGGAGATGATCACACGAGTGAACGTATCTGGCCAGATAGGCGGGCGGATGCAGCGACGACAGCCGGTTTGTGGATATGTTGGGTATCTTGCGAAACGATCCGCCGGCGGGCAGCGGTCATCTCAGCGCCAGACTTATCGACCGTAATACACACCAGGAATTTCTGCATGTATCTGACCGCGTTTACGTCCAGATACCGGTCAGGGAAAAAAGACCACGTGTCTGATTACGTACGTTCCAAGTCTATTGCTCGTAGGACAGCGGCGATGGCGGGAACCCACCCGTCTTCCCCCGAGCACAACGCACCCTGATTTTGGCTGTACCTGACCGGAAACGTGACTCGTATACATTCATTATCAGGGTGCGTTATGTTCGGGAGACGGCAGCCTCCGAGTTCGTCCTCCCAGCCGAACAACGGTAACGGCTGCACGAAAAAAAAAAACAAAAAAAAAAAAAACAAAAAAAAAAACCCGGGTAACGGCTGCGTTCTTCCGGAAGACATTAGGGCCTCGCTGCACTACTCTACAAATGTGCAAAACGAGAGTGAATCTTCCGGTCGAATATGGAAAGATACACGACCATGATTTTTTTTTTTTTGTGCATCTCAAAATGTGCAATACACATGGAAAGATACACTGCCATATTTTTTTGTCTTTTGTGCATGTCGAGAGTAGTGGAGCGAGGCCCATAATAACATTCAGTACTTCCTTAGGTGCGGTTTGAGACGGAGTGAAGGAGGAGTGCGCAGAGAGGAGGAGGTGGGGAGGGAGGAAGGAAGGAAGAGGGAGGGAGGGAGAAGAAGCAGGTCGACATAGCTACCTACAGTGTAGTAAACGAGGAAAGACAAAAGAGAGGAAGAAAGGTGAGCGGAGAAGAAGGGAGAAGAAGGAAGGGAGGAACCGGAAGAAGAAGAAGAACAAGAAAGAGGGAAGGAGGAATTGCTACACACTGTGTGGTCTACATTGTCAAGAGGAAAGAGAGAGGGAGGAAGAAAGGTGAAAGAAGACGAAGAAGGAAGAAGAAGGAAGAGTCTCTAAGCAGATACTGTGGTCAGCGCTTGCACAGGAAGAAGAAGAAGAAGCAGGAGAAGAAAGAAGAAGAAGGAAGAAGAAGAACAAGGTGATAGCTATGGCGCCAGCAGTGGTGGCATGTCGAACTGCCTTGTCTTCCTTGCAGACGGCGAACGCAGGTCTTTCCGACGGCGGGATCTGGACGTTGGGCGGGATCCCGAGGCCGCTTCATAGATTGTCCACGTGGCAATGTCGAAGTAGTGGTCTGTCGATTCGATCTGTTGATCGACGGCGGAAGAAGCTTCATCGTGTCTTCACCGAGGTGAGAGATGGCGGCGCTGACGGCGGCGATGGCGGCGGCGATGGAGGAAGTACCGCGGCCATCGCCAACTGCAACTGCAGCAAGCAAACGGGAAGAAGAGGAGGAGGAGGAGGAGGAGGAAGTAGGGATAAGCGGAGGCGGAGGATGGGTCGAGACGAGCGATGGAGGTTAGGACGTGGAGGCTCCGCTGACGCAAGAGAGTACCCACAGCTGTGCAGCTCCTGCTGCAGCTGCAGCAGCAGCAGCCGCAGCAGCGATCTATTTCTGACGTCGGAGGAACAAGAGGAGGAGGAGGAGAAGGAGGAGGAGGAGGTGGTGGTGATTGCACAAGGTGCCCCTTCGGCCTCGCCGGTCGTCTTCCTTGAGCTCCAACGGCGGGGATTGCAAAAGGTGCCCCTGCGAGTTCCGATCAAGCTTTTAGCCAAGCTGGCGCTGGCGTCTCTGCTCGCCGCTCCGCTCCTGGACTACGTCTTTCCTAAACTGGCAAGTGCGGCGGCGCAGACGCTCGCGCAGTCCAGCCTCGGCCTGCGCGTGGCCGCCGCCCTCCGCTCATCCAACTGGCCCGACAGTGCCATCATCTTCGTAATCTCGATGTTACCGGTGCTGGAGCTGCGGGGCGCAGTCCCGGTCGGGTACTGGATGGGTCTGGATCCCGGCGTCACCATCCCGGTCTCCATCATCGGAAACATGGTCCCGGTCCCGATCATCCTCCTCTACCTCGGCAAGCTGTCTTCTTTCCTGATCGAGAAAAGCGCCCTGGCGGCGCGCTTCTTCGATTTCCTATTCGAGCACACCAGGGCGAAGGCGGGACCCATCGCAGAGTTCAAGTGGCTGGGTCTCATGCTGTTCGTCGCGGTCCCGTTGCCAGGCACCGGGGCCTGGTCGGGGGCCATAGCCGCTCACATTCTAGGCATGCCCTTCTGGGATGCCATGTCAGCCAATTTCGTCGGAGTGGTCCTCGCTGGACTAATCATGAACATGTTCTGCACGGTTGGATTGAGGCAGGCGATCGTCGTCGGGATCGGGTTGTTCATCTTATCCAGCGGGATCTGGAGTGTATTGCGACTCGTAAGGAAGAAGCTCGGTTATGGAGCGGGCGACAAAGACGCGACGCCCGCCGCTTGATCTTCTCCCTCCCTCCCTCCCTCCCTATTGCTCTCTCCTTCCCACCCTCTCTCTYTCTCTCTCTCTCTCTCTCTCTCTCTCTCTCTCTCTCTCTCTCTCTCTCTCTCTCTCTCTCTCTCTCTCTCTTYTTTKTKCKTTTKGTGTCYTTAWTCTCTCTYATCTCTTTGTATCTCTCTWYCTCTTGTTTTTGATTCGCTTGTCATGATGTCCGCATTTTTTTTTTGTTAATATCATGTCCTTGTTACCTTTTCCAAGAGGGTTAATCGTTTCACTGCTTCTCCGATGAGTTTTTTTTTTTTTGCTTCTTCTTATCATTAGACTGATTTCTGATCCGACAGTTGCTGTTTATATTATAACGGAATCTCATCTTGCAATATCTTCTTTTTTTTTTTTTTCCCCTCATCTTGCATTATCTAGGTAGGTACTGAAAGAAAGATGTGCTCCATGATGACATGGCAGAACGGCAGTTAAAAAAAATATGTGAGGTGAGATGAGAGACAAATATATGGCTGTCCACGGACGAGGAGGAAAAAAAAGAAATTGTCATTTTTGCAAGAAGTTCGATCGAATCTGGTTGGCAATCTATTTGGATAAGATTCTTATCAGATCAGATCGTCTCTCTTTCAAAAAAAAAAAAAAAAAAAGGAACTAGATTAGATGCTGTTCGGTATGCAACGATGGGAAATAGAACACAGAGGGGTTCGTCTCATTTAGCGAAATTTCGTTGCTGTTTTTTTTTTTTTTTTTTTTTTTT